CATATTGTATTAGGGTGTCACCTAATCTAATGAATAGTGTCTTATCAGAAGGGTGAAATTTGGACATAGGCATAAAGGGAGGATGCTGTGACAGGACACACAAAAGTATGCTATGTTTTGTCAGAGGCAGAGTTTAGAGTGATGTGTTTCCAAGTCAAGGAATACCAAACATTGCCAGCAGCCATCAGAAGCTAGGAGAGAAGCAAAGAATGATTCTTCCCTAGAGAGATTCTACTCAAGACTTTATTTCAGAGAAAGCATGATCCTGCTGACAACTTAATTTTGAGCTGGTACTCTCCAGAACTCTAAAAGAAAAAAGTTCTATTGTTTTAATCCACCTAGTTTGGGGTAATTTGTTGCAGCAGTCCTAAAAACTAATACGTATGTTAAAATGCTACCAGCTATCATCACCAAGGATGTTACATTCTGTACTTTATATCTTAATGTTTACATTTCATATTGTGTATTTCGGTGAAAGACAAAAAGTGTAACAATAAAAAAGTTAAAAGTGCATACCCTTTCCTCTAATAATTCAATTTTACCTGTTTATTTGCCAATAATAATTTATTCCAACGACAAAAAGGTCAACATAGCAAGATATTCATGTAACTTTTAAACAACAAAATCCTAAAAGCAAACATCTGTCTAACAACAGGTGATTGTGTAAATAAATGTTGACAAATACAAAACATATACAGGAATGTTATAAATCCTTGAAAAATAATAAATAATAAATAAATAAGTCTCTTAGGGATGACAAATAACAGTTGCTGACAGACATTATTAAGTAAACAAAAGGACAAACACAATTTAGAAAAATTTTTTCCACTTGCATAAATTGCAAGCTATAATTCAATTTTGTCCATAGAAGTTATTTATTGTTTAACTTTCACTATATGTTATAGAAATAGAAAACATGTAAAGATACCTGCCTTATGTTAAGGATGAATCTTTTTAAATTCACACTTATTAATTTGCTAAAAATTAGAATATCTTACCACCAAATTAATAGTGACTCCCAAACTGGAGCATCCGCCCAAATATCAATGACCTATCAGTTTTTAGAATTTCTAGTTATCTAAACAACAAGATTCAGTGGGCAAGAGTGTCGTTAGGATTTATGTTATTGAAAAATAAAAATAGCTTTTTAGAAAATCTAAAAATTGGTTGGGTCTATATTAATAATTAATTTAAGCAAATGACAGACAAATAAAATGGGATGGGACGATATTTAATGCAAATTGAAATATTTTCTATTTAGCATTTGTCAACCACTGTTTAAACTTAATCTGATTAAATCAAGTAATTCAAAGTGGAATCATAAAAATCAGACCTATTTTTAGGTAACTCTGCTATTTTACTACTGATATCAAGAGTCTGTTTCTAAATCCTCCAAGTGCCAGTGAAGTTTCCCTCCATTATAGTCAGTAGTGTTTTGCATGATCTGCTTGACTACATTTCCCATTCTTCTGATACTATTTAAATTAATGCTTAAATACTCTAATTCAGTCTTCTGTCTTACTCATTTTATACATAATCAAATTTGTAGCTCTTTCCGTAGAACTATAAAATACTATCAATACTATAAATGTAGTAACAGAAGGAAGAATTTTGCATTCCACTGTATATTCTATCACATTTGATTTCTTTCCCAACAACACGTATTACTTTAACAACAATGACAAAAAATAGATAGCAAACTAATAATGATAATAATGATAATAACATTTTATTTAGTTGTATGCAAAAAATAAGACCCAGAAATAAGTATTGTGGAGAACAATGCACATCTACAGAAGCTTTTTTCTTTTTTTCTTTTTAGGAGTCCTTTAAAATGTTTTTTTTTTTTTTTTTTAAGGTGTGGGGTACAATTTAGGGAGAAGTCCTCTAAATATTTTTTAAAGACTGTTTTACAAGGTAAACTGAATTAGCTGTAATTGTTTGTGGAGATTATATTATTTTAGTAAAGAAAAATAATTTTGATGATTTGGGCCCTAATAGTTTAAAATTTTTTAAAAAATAAATAATTATATGACATGAGCTCAAGGTGTGAACCTCCTATTAATTCCAAAGAAAGTCCATAGTGTACTCTAAGGCTTCTGTCACTTAGATTGTTACATTAGACAATTATTACACACCATTTTGTAGTCCTTTTGACCACACCTCTTACTTAGCCACTGCTGCTGTGACCAGTTCCATGCAGGTATAATCAGTCAACTTCATATCTTGCCTGGTACTTATAGTTTCTTGCCATAGGGACTTTTTTAAAATCTCCATTGCATGGAATACCACCAGCAACTAGCTCTGCATTCATGCATACACAACCTGGAATCACAGAGGAGTTACAACCTGTGAGGCAACCCTTGAGCCCCGCATAAGCTGTTGAGTAAGACATTTTCATTCCCTGTGGAAGGCAGATCTGAGATGTATTTTAGAAGGCTCTTTGTCTAATCCTGGCAGGATTGGACACCAGTCTCCAGTAACAGGGTACAACTTTGTAAGAAATCATTGCATTGACTTTTCCTCCTTCCCTGATTCACTCTACTTGTTTTGCACTCCTACTCTCTGTGATGACATTTACAAATAAGTAGCCAAAACTCAACTTTTGTCTTTGGTTCTGCTTTCTTGGAAATGCAGGCTTGGATTCCCTCATACTGAAAAATCATCTGCCTCTATGCCCTAGTCAAAGGTGATACCTGCCAAAGTGATGCCTGCCTGATAATGTATTAGAAGTTATTTATTTATATAACTACTAATATGTAATTATATATAACTACTTATATAATTATCTATAATATTTTTATTTAGGGGCTTGAGACCACTTCAAGGCCTAAGTTCTTCAAATATGACGGAGACAGTGATAGAGCAGTGGAACCTGCATTAATTCAACTTATAAATACCTAACAGACAATTAGAAAGTGATTTAATCTTCACCAAGAGGTCAAATACATGAACATTTTTCCAGTTTTCATGACTAGGAACAATTCCACAGACATAAAAATAAAAATAGTAAGTTAATATTAGTGACTTCTGTCACATTTCCAACAAGCCAACAGGAAAGGAATTGAGGTCATGCTGTAAAAGTCAACATAGATTGACTAATCTATTAACAAAATAGATTAATAAAACTATTGAGGAAAGGAAAAAATAACAAGCAAAAAAGAAGGCATGCACAGTCACGCTTTTCTTTCTGTGTTTCCTCTGATTTTCTTCAGTTCTTCAGTTTTCCCAGAATCAGTTGCTGCTGACAGCTTTTGTGACATAATTATCTCAATATGTATTATGTTCACATGTAAGTAAATATTTTGCTGATAATTTTAGTAAGAAAATTTTAATTTTAATTTTAAAATCACAAAAATGAAAAAATAAATATGAGATCATAATATTTTATAGTACTAAAATCTCTGTGCCTAAAAATTCCTCAATCCCATTTAAATCATATGAATAAAAACTCACTCTCAGATTTCAGCATAAAGGAGGTTTTGTGCTACCACAGCTCATTGGGTTAATGATTGGCTCAGGCCTTCTAAAATTATAAACCACAGTATTTTGCTGAGTGGTATTTTTACATATGTTTGTAATGGCGTAAATATCTACTTAGTGTTCATGTCAGATAAGTCTGTTCTTCACCCATTACTGTTCCTTCAAGTTTTCCTTGATCTCTGGTCTTTGGTTTACTAGAAAAGGCACTTTCTAGTCAATTCTCATTTTTTTCTCCTGAAGATTAGACTCCTGTTTCAAGTTCTGAAATATCTCAGCTTTCTCAACCCATGTTAATAAATTTTTTGTTTACTTCAAGCCTACATTACTGTTTATTATAGTTAATACCACACTCTAAAGAAGTTTTATTTATTTTCCAATATTTTAAGCATTTTAAGAATCTCCTTTAAACAGTGGTCATGTGACTTTAAGGTATGTTTTTCACTGAATTGTGCCTTTATATATTAGCTCAACAATATGGTGAAAAATCCTAGAGTATTTCTGATTACAAACTTCTTGTGTCTTAAAATATTTGCCATTATATTTCAAACCATTGCCTAGAAACAATAAATGGTATTCCATGAACTTCATGTATTTCCATAGCTGGGCATAGGATCTGAGCTCCACTTGCTACTCCAAGAACTTGTTCATGACTTCTTCCTGAACTTCCAGAGAAACAAACAACCTTGCAGAATTCTATAACCAAAAATACACAAATAACTTTTGTAACTATGACCCTTAACAGATCATTCTCAGAATTTTCCCTTTGCAAGAGATTCTTGTCATACACTGGAATTAGTTGAGACATGTAGAAGAGTTGACTTTAGGAATTTTTATAAATACAAAATTATTAACCTTTTAAGACTAGGAGCTTCCCATTTTTCCCTTTTCCTTTGAAATTTCTCTGAATTGAAGATTACGTTTGCTGTACATATCCCTAGGCTTACAAGAAAGCAACAAATCCTGATGCCCAAGTGTAAGCCTTCTGTAGTGAGCATAATAAATGACTCTATATTCAGTTTTGAACTGTCGCTCTTCTCACTCTCTACAATCTTCTCCACTTCCCACCCTCCCCTTGAACACACACATACAAATGCACATACTTACCTACATACATCTAAGCCTTGCCTTGGCAAAGTAAGTAGTATTCTGTAATTCATTGATGGTAGGTAAGTTATTGTTTGCTCTTATGTTCTCTCCACATGGAAACACTGCACCACATCTTATGTGTGTTCAGTGTGTGTTGCTCAAAGTGCTTTTACATAAATCATCATATATAATTTGTCCAACTATTCTGTGAGGTATGGAGAACAAATGTCATTATTTTAATTCCATAGAGGGTAATTGCCTTGCTTTGGAGTTAGAGACCAAGAAGATTTCCTGTGTCTTAGCCTTTCTGACCAAAGATAAACAACTTGGAAGCTAAAGCTGACAGTATGACATAGCTCCATCACAAGGCAATTTCCCCAGGAACTGTATCCACTTAACATTCCTTCCTCGAATCCACAGTTGCTGAATTGTCAGACAAGTTTCTGACCATGGACAGTGGTTGTGTGTTCTTTCCTCCAGCAGCTGTACTTGGTCACTTTGTTCCGAAACTCCTTAGTTTTCACTCCATAAATTATAGGATTGAGCATTGGAGGCACAAGGAAGTAGAGGTTGCCAAGTATGGTGTGAACCTGGGGTGGAATGCCTTGGCCAAAGCAGTGAGCAAGAAAAGAGAAAAGACTAGGGGTGTAAGAGATAAGCATGACACAGATGTGTGTGGTGCAAGTGTTGACGGCCTTGTGGTGGGCTTCCTTAGAAGAGAGACGCATTATAGCCCGGATGATTAGCACATAAGAAGAAGCAATAGCTGAGAGGTCTAGCCCAGCAACTAGCAAGGCCACCACCAAACCATATATCCGGTTGACTGTGGTGTCCACACAAGCCATCTTCACTACAGCCATGTGCTCACAGTAAGTGGTGGGGATGACATGACTGGCATGATAGGGCATCTGCTGGAGGAGGATGGGCATGGGGAGAATAAAGAGCACAGCTCTTACCAAACTCACTAGACCAATGAGCCCAACGCGACTATTGGAAAGGATGGTGGCATAGCGCAGGGGCTCACAGATGGCCACATAGCGGTCAAAGGCCATGGTCATTAGAACAGCCGACTGCATAGCAGAGATGGAATGAATGAAGAACAACTGTACCAGGCAGCCTTCATAGGTGATTTTACTCTGGTCAAACCAGAAAATACACAGCATCTTGGGAATGGTGGCTGTGGACATGCCCAGGTCTGTAAGAGCCAACAGGCAGAGAAGCAGGAACATGGGCTTGTGCAGGGAACGCTCTGTGGAGATAATGAAGAGGATGGTGCAGTTCCCAAACACAGTAATGAAGTACATGGAGGAGAAAGGAATCGATATCAATCTGTGTTTGTCCTCCATCCCAGAAATGCCCTGGAGAATGAAGAAAGAAGGATGGCCCTGCGTGGCATTGCAAACAGTCATGGTGGTACCCTGGTGAAGTACCTGAGGGGGACAATAAAGAAACCTCATTAGCTTCAACTTTTAAAAGAGTTCCAAAATGGAAAACAAAGATTGCAAAATTATGCACAAAAATAATACTGAAACCATGATTGTATATATCATAAAGTATACTAGCACACTATTATATTACAGTCAATAATGTTGTATAACAGTATTGATATCTGTGAATATATATTTATAATAAATGTTTATTAAGGGCAAACTTTTATTATTAATAAAATATACTATTTATTATATGTGGCTATATTAGTAATAAATGTGTCCACTTAAGAACATAATTTGATGTAAAACAAAAGGTACAGAAACACAAAGAGAAATTAACAAGCTATACTATACCCCTCCTAGAAACCAAAGATGAAGTATAATCAACAAAAGGGTTTTATTAAGTAGTTAAGACAGCTTAAAAATTGGTGATAAAATATGCATCCAAATATGAGATCTGAGAGAGTAAGAACCTTTTTTGATGAGATGGGCAAGGATGGTGAAAAATGAAGTAGGCAGTGGGGTGCTGGAAAATTGAAGCTCAGAGTGTAGCCTACCAGAATGTGTTTATAAAGCCTGCCCTCACCTAGAGCCACTTACCTGAAAGTGACACTGTAAGAAAGTGGGCAGCTAGTCCCAGACAACTTCTGCAAATGTGTATGTTTGAATGCATACATATGTATGTAGGTGCAACTTAGCAAACACCCACATGGTTCTTGAACGGCACACTCATGGCCCTGCATCTCTCCACTCCTCACTTTTGAGCACCCAGAATCCATGTGGTGCCCCTTTAAGTAACCTAAGAAAAGTCCCACATGGTGCCCAGAATTAGCTCTTTGCTACCCCCACCTCCCATCACACCTATACACAAGGCACCACTACCGTTATGTGTAAAACTGACCTTGGAGGTTGACTGAGCTCCCAGGAGATGAAGCTAATTAATCTTAAGGATTCTGGGAATGTATCCGTCTTTACCAGTCTTAGAGGCGTATGAGAGGAAAGATGGTTAAGTTAAAACTGAATCAATGGATGCATAAATTAAAAAATAAAACAGTAGCATGTATGTACAATGAAATATTATTCAATCTTATAAAAGAAGATTCTACCATTTGCCACAAGGTGGATGGATTTGGAGGACCTTATGCTAAGCTTAAGCCAGGCACAGAGAGACAAATACTGCATTATCTCACTTATATATGGAATCTAAAATTTTTTTAAAGGGTCAAATATAGAGAGAATAAAATAATGATTACCAGAGTTGAGGCAGAGGAGTGGGGGAAGGAAATGGGGAGATGTAGGTCAAAGGATACAAAGTAGCAAATATGTAGGAGGAACAAGTCAAAAGATCTAATGTATAACATGGGGACTATAGTTAATGACATTGTATTATATGCAAGATTTGTGTTACATGAGTAGATTATAGCTGTTTTTGCTACGCAGGGGACAGGTAAGCATATGAATCGATGAATATATTCATTTGTTCCACTATACTATTTTACTACATGTATATGTAACTTATAACATCATGGCATATACTTAATTACACAATAACATTTATTTTAAAAAAAATGAATGAATCTAGCACCAGATTGAGAACTAACTAGCAGGTTGGACACCCCAGAGGCCCTAATTTCCAAGCATGTGTTGGTGTGGGAGCCAGGGAGGAACTTACTCTGTGGCTGGAGTAACCATGCCCATGAAAATGTCAGATATCCCCTGTTGATAGATATCCTGGCAAAATAGTGTTAGCAGCCTCAAATTCTCTGTCTCTAGTCTTTTTAAATTTTTTACACTCTAACTTTTGTCCCACACTAGTGGCTTTGTCCTATAAATTGTATACAGGGCATATTCATCAGCACATTGCTCCCCATCCTCACATCCTCTTTGGCCTAAGCATCCACCCAACCTCTGAGCCCAGACACAGACAAAATTATTGATTCATTAGTGCAGAAGAAGTAACTTATGAACATGTATCATCAAAAAGTACCTTGTCTAAACCACTGCAAAATGTACAAAACAAAACAGTCATGCAGTCATCACACAGTATACCAAAAAGGGACTCATTGAGTTGGATTCTAAATACCTGTGTAATGCAAGTCTGTAGACAAGTTCTGTAGAGAGATTGCTCAGGGTCAGATGTTAGTAAGAGGGAAGCAAAAGCAGAGAAAAATAAGTGCCAAATTAAATGTCCTAAGATAATCAGGACATCGGCAGAAAGCACAGATGTACTTATAGTCACATATCTACAACCTTCAGATTCCTCCTGGTGAAAGCTGTGACTCTAATAAAATTCAGGAATCCTGACCTCTGTCATTCTTTTCTTGTCTATCCCAAGGTGGTCCTGATGGGTGACAATGACAAGGAGCAGCCAATGAGAGCCATTTCCTCCGAGCCTCATTCCCCTACTTTTACATCAATGGTCCTATGAAATGCTTGAATACAACTCCTAAAATATGGGTTTGCAGAATATACCCCAATGCCTTTTGCTGTTTTCTAGAGGGCTCTAACCTCTCCAGTCAAAATTTTTAACCTCATTATTTCTATAAACACATCAGTCTGGGGTAATAACTTAAGTCTCTCCAAATCCTTATCCTTATCACCAGTATTATATTTAGCCCATAGTAGGTATATAATAAATATCAAATAAGTGAATAAATAAATGAACAAGCAAATGCATAAGTTCATCTTAAAATATTCTAAAAATGTATCCCACTTCATGAGCTCTTACTAATTTGGGGGTTTTATTTTATATATATGTATGCCAAAAACACAACTAAGTGTGAAGGATATTTCTTCCTAAATGAGTTTATACATTCGAGGCAAGTCCAAACAAATGTCAATAATTTAGTCTTGACAAAATAATTATCAAATTCAACTGGAAGAACAAATATCTGAAGCTAATGATATAACAGATGTGTGCTTCTCCTACTAGAAAATAAACTTTATTATAAAACTGTAGTACTTTAAACAATGAAGTTATGGTGCAGGAATGGAGAGATTATTTGAACAGAATAGCATTGATACAAATACACAAGTATATATACAAACTATAATGATGATAATATCACAAAATCTTGAGAGATGATTATAGATTATATATTTTAGAGAAATATATTCAAGTGCCACATAGTGATGTTTCAGTCAGTGACATACCATATATACAATGGTGATCCTGTAAGACTATAATAACATATTTTAACTGTACTTTTTCTATGTTTAGATTTACTTAGCATTATATGACAATTGCCTAAGTATTTAGTACAGTAACATGTTGTACAGGCTTGTAGCCTAGGAACAATAGGCTATACTATACAACCTAGATGTGTAGTAGCATATACCACATGGGTTTGTGTAAATACACTCTATGATGTTAGCACAACAGCAAAATCACCTTAACAATACGTTTCTCAGAAAGTGCCCTCTATATGAAGTGACACATGACTACATGATTATGATAAAATAAATTCGTATTTTTCACATCACTCATAATATTTTCTTATCTAGAAATGCAATTTTTAAAAATTTTTTTATTTTTTTATTTTTTATTTTTTTGAGTTGGAGTCTCACTCTGTTGCCCAAACTGGAGTGCAGTGGCTGCTCCCGGCTGCCGCAGCCTCTACCTGCTGGGCTCCGGCGGTCCTTCCGCCTCAGCCTTCCAAGTAGCCAGAATTACAGGCATGCGCTACCACGCCCGGCCGATTTTTTTATTTATTGTAGAGATGGGGTCTTGCTGCCCAGGCAGGTCTCGAACCCGCGGGCTCAGGCAATCCACTCACCTCAGCCTCCCAAAGGCGCGGGATTACAGGCTGAGCGACCGAGCCTGGCTTTTTTTTTTATTTTTAATTTTAAAGATGTGGGGTACAATTCAGCGTCATGTATACAAATGTTCATTATGCAGGTACCCTTGTTGATGAGGTGTGCGTCCCCCTCCCCTGGCATAATCCCACTACTGCCAATCTTGCCAGACCAACCCTAGCAATTTCCCTCTGCTGACAATTCTTTTGTTAAAGTGTTACGATAATTGCTCAAAGTCCACTTAATGAGTGAGAACATGTGATACTCAGTTCTGTGTTTCCGTGATACTAAGTTCATCCAAATTGCTGTGAAGTTCATAATTTTGTCGTTCTTTATGACTGCGTAATATTCCATCATGTATATGTACCACATTTTTTTATCCAGTCCTCTTTCACTGGTTCCATGTTTTTGCTGTTGTGAACAATGCTGCAATAACCATGCATGTACAGGTGTCTTTTTCATAAAGTGATTTGAATTCCTCTAGGTATATACTCTGTAGGGGGATTGCAGGGTCATATGAAAGATCGATTTTTAGACCTTTTAGAAATCGTCAAACTGTTTTCCACAGAGACTAAACTAGTTTACACTCCCACCAACAGTGTAGAAGTGTTCCCTTTTCCCCACATCCTCTCCAGCATCTGTTGTTTTTTGAGTTATTGATGATGGTCATCCTGACTGGAGTTAGGTGGTATCTCATTGTGGTTTTCATTTACATTTCTCTGATGACTAGTGAGGTTGAGCATTTTTTTATGTGTCTGTTGGTGGCTCATGTCTTCTTTTGAGAAATGCCTATTCATATCTTTTGTCCACTGTGTATAGGGGGTTTTTGTTTTCTTCTTTTTGGCAGGTTTGAGTTCCTTATAGATCCTAGATGTTAGGCCTTTGTCAGATATACAGTTGCAAATATTTTTTCCCAGTCTATGGGCTGTCTCCTCACTCTCTTGATGGTTTCTTTGACTTTGCAGAAGCTTGTGAGTTTGATGAAGTCCTACTTGTCTATCTTCTCTCTTATGGCATGGGCACTTAGGGTCTTAATCAGGAATTGGTTGCCAGTTCCAATTTCCATAAGGGTGTCTTCTGCATTTTCTAAGGTTCTGATACTTTGAGGTTTTATGTTTAGATCTTTGATCCATTTAGAGTTGACTTTTGTGTATGGTGATAGGTAGGGGTCTTGTTTTAATCTTCTACATGTGGTCGGCCAGTTTTCCCAGCACCATTTGCTTAACAGGTTCTCCTCTCTTCAGTGGTTGATGGTGGAGGCTTTATCGAGAAATTGTGGTTTTGTTTCTGGAATCTCTATCCTGTTCCATTGTTCTATATGCCTGTTCTTGTACCAATACTAGGCTGTTTTGATTATTGTAGCTTTATAATAAAGTTTAAAGTCTGGGAGTGTGATACCTCTCTCTTTGTTGTTGTTTTTGTTTTGTTTTGTTTTGCTCAGGATTGTTTTGGCTATTTGTGGTCATTTATGCTTCCATATGAATTCCTGTATTGTTATTTCCAGGTCTGAGAAGAATGCTGCTGGTAATTTAGTGGGTATTGCATTAAATCTGTAGATTGCCTTTGGTGGAATGGACATCTTAACAATGTTCATTCTTCAAATTCATGAGCATGGAATATTTTTCCATTTATTTGTGTCATCTTTGAATTTCTTTGAGCAGTGTTTTGTAGTTTTTGTTGAAAAGGTCTGTCACGTCTGTGGTTAGGAAGATGCCAAGGTATTTCATTTTATTGTGACTATTGTGAATGGGATTGTGCTTTTTATTTGGGTTTGTTTGTTTATTGTCGGTGTAAAGAAATGTGACTGTCTTTTGCACATTTATTTTATATCCTGAGACGTTGGCAAAGTCCTTTATCAGTGCAAGGAGGTTTTGACAGATACTCTTGGGCTTTCGAGGTATACAATCATGTCGTCTGCAAAGAGGGATAACTTAACTTCCTCTTTTCCTATTTGGATACCCCTGATTTCCTTCTCTTGTCTGAT